TGAATTATGGGTGCATCTTCTGGCACTGAACTGAAACCGTCATTTTCCAGTGGCATCTGTACCTAACTTTATGCTAATCCTCTTTCCCAAAGCAACTGTGAAATAAAACATGTGGAACTTACTACCTATTACAACTCAGACGGGATACTGTGATCAAACATACTGCCATGTCTGAGCCATCTCAAAGCATTGTTTGCTCTTTATCCAAGCACATTAGCAATTAGCTTGCCTTGCTGTGTTAAGATATTGTCGAATTTAATGGAGCCTGAAGTAGCTTATGGTAAACATCTACTCCTTTTTAAAAGGTTATGTATCATTCCTTACGACTCATTAACAGACACTTATCTGCCCTAATAACATAGTTTACACATTTTTATAGCTACTGATTTAATAAATCTTGAGCTGTACTGAGTGAAGCATAATGCCAATTTCAGCAGCACACTTCAGTAATACCAGTTATAAAATGCAGTAGTAATCATCCAATCATTCATTTTATATGACTATAAAAGAAGTATGGCAAATCAACAACACATTCTCAGCCCAGATGACTAATCACATAATTCAAAGTATTGTTATGCTGCTGACTTTATTTTCAAATCTTGGTTGAGTGAGAATGTAGTAAGACAGGGAAAGACTGGGATATCATGTACTGATGTGGAGTGACAGACCTGTCAATCTAGGTGTCATTCTTTTCTTCAAATTCTGGTTTAATAGTTCTCCGCTCTCTAAACTCTTTTGTTTGTTTTTTTTTATTTCTGATGTCACCCCAAGCATGAGAAAACACAGTGTATGCATTAGAGTGTGCAAGAAAATATGGAACAAATTATTCAGTAAGGGAGAGAGCATTTTATTTTTCAGTACAGGACAATCCGGTATTAACACTGTGCCGTATGGGTGGTGAGCGATGGAAACTGCACTGTTGGTCACAAGAACAATCCGTTTTTGTTCTAGGTGCATAGTCAACACTGTTGTGGAAGCCACAAGTTTTAGCTTGGTCTGGTTGTTAGTAATGTTGCAGACACGGACAGCACAACAGGCACCAGAGCTCTGCAAGGACATTTTAGAAAATACAAATATAATCTTGGTTAAATATCGTGTCAAAAACAAAACAGTATTTGCTAAATTGAAGGCGAATTACTGTCAAAAAGAACTGCTGTCAGCAGTTAGCCACTGGGATTAACCATACACTGTCTATGGGACTAACTAGCTAACTGTGACCTCTGCTATCTCACTGGAAGTTGCACCCATAATCATATTACAGTACTGCCCTCAGGAATAAGGTGGATGGCATTGCACGACCTGCAGTTTCCTAATGTCCTTTCCTTCTACCTCAAAGGTTGTGCCATGAGTGGCTTGATAGCTGATGCCAAGACTCTAATTGACAAAGCGAGAGTGGAAACACAGGTATGAATGAACACAGTGTAACACAAGCTGGTGACTGACCTTGTATTTTACCCGTGATTAATCTGTGTGTATTCCTCCCCAGAACCACTGGTTCACTTACAACGAGACGATGACAGTGGAGAGTGTGACTCAGGCTGTGTCCAACCTGGCGCTTCAGTTTGGAGAGGAGGACGCTGATCCCGGTGCCATGGTTAGTCACGTAGCTCATTTCCATACTGAAATTCTTATCTGTTCAACCCTCAAGTCAGTGATTTTTTTTAGAGTCATTTGATGGTGCTTGAGTAAACAAGTATAATCTGTATTCTACTCACTCTTCTGTTCCTCTGTGCCGTCATCCATACAGAGTCGACCATTCGGCGTAGCACTTCTGTTCGGGGGAGTTGATGAAAAAGGACCTCAGCTGTACGTAAAGATTATTATTTGTGCTCTATATATTTGACATTTTAAGAAGAAGCATGTTCATCTTTACTTTCTACTTCACAGAAACTTTACTGTTATTTGTTTGTGGATGCAGGTACCACATGGACCCATCAGGAACCTTTGTGCAGTGTGATGCTCGGGCCATCGGCTCAGCGTCTGAGGGCGCACAGAGCTCTCTGCAAGAAGTGTACCACAAGGTACTAAACTGCTCCATATTTGTATTTAACAGGAACATTAGCTAAGCACACTGTAATGTCAGCAAGCTGCTATCTTGCGTGTGACTTTGTAAACAGTTTTTTAATGAAATAATAAAATGCAAATCACCAGGATTAAATAGTTGTTTATTTCCTGTTTGTCCCTCTCCCTCGGGGTAACTTGCAGTCCATGACATTAAAAGACGCCATCAAGTCGTCTCTCACCATCCTGAAGCAGGTGATGGAGGAGAAGCTCAACGCCACCAACATTGAGGTTTGTTCTTCATTCCTCTCCCAGATTCTGAATATTTAATTTCATCACATCAAGATCCTTGTAGCCATTTGAAGGTTTGATTTGTCTGTGAAAATGTGTAGTTGAAACCACATCAGTTCAAATGCCCAGTGCAAACCACATCAGATGTGTTTTTTGCTTTACTTTTGTGTGGTAAAAAACACTTAACCGCAGCAGATTTAACTTTGCACGGGTCTTTTCTGCAGCTGGCAACGGTAGAGCCCGGAAAGACCTTCCACATGTATTCCAAAGAGGAACTGGAGGATGTAATCAAGGATATCTAGAGCGGAGAAGACTCAGAAGTCTTGTTTTGAGCAGGAGAGGAGAGGACATGGAAGTTCACCTGGGCTCAATGTCACAACACAACCACAACTTTCCATCAGCACATTCTCCTCGCTGCATTCCGAATCTGCTGGATTGCATAAGAGGTTTTCTCCTTGCAATGTGCTAATTTACTTCTTGTCTCTCAGTGTCTGTGCAACTCTGTACAGCAGTTTGACCAGCGCTTACAGCTGAGCGGCAGGAAAACATTAGGGGTGGGGGAGGGTGGGCTTTTTTGTTACGAATCATTACTACAATTAAACTGTTGTATTCAGAAAGTGGTCTGACTCTGTCATTTTTCTGTATCTCTCATGTTCTCGCTTCAAGTCTGATGGGAACTTACAGTAGACTAAGTATTGTACTTTATAACACTTACACATCACGTCAAAGTGGTAACAGCAAATTCCAGTGTGATACTGCTGGTGAAAATAAATGTTTGGTTGTAACAGTGGGCTCTGAAAGTTGGTCCACTACCAGAAATTAGTTTTGTTAAATAGTTATTTACAACACAGATTCCAAAAAAGTCAGGATGCTGTGGGGGAAAAAAACAGGATGCAATGATTTATGAATCCTTTTTGACCTATATTCAATTGAATACAGTACAGAGACAAGATATTTAAAGTTCAAACTCATAAACTTTATTGTTTTTTGTAAATACGCACTCATTCTGAATTTAAGGCCTTCAACACATTCCAAAAAAGTTGGGCATAGTAACCACTGTGTTACATCACCTTTCCCCTTAACAACACTCAAAGTGTTACAGTTCAGGGTCTCCATTGTCGCATTTTGCATTTCACAATGAACCTCACATGTTCAATAGGAAACTATGAAGCCACAGAATGTGTCTCATTGTCTTGCAGGAGGAAGCAGCGATGTCCCTGAAAAATACATCTAGATGGCAGCATGTGTTGCTCTAAAACCCATATATACCTTTCAGCATTCATTTTGCCTTCTTACGTAGATGTGAGAGTTACCCATGATGCCATGGACACTAACACACCCCGATACCATCACAGATGCTGGTTTTTAACTTGGTAACAATCCAGATGGTCTATTTCCTCTTTAGCCCGGAGGACATAATGTCAGTGATTTTCTAAAACAATCTGAAATATGGACTCATCAGACCACACTTTTCCACTCTGTGTCAGTCCATCTCAGATGAGCCCGGGCCCACACACACAGCAGTGTTTCTGGATGTTGTCGATACATGACTTTCACTTTGCACGGTCTTAACTTGCATTTGTAGATGCAGCAATGAACTGTGTTTACCAAAAGTGGTTTTCCAAAATGTTCTTGAGCCCATGTAGTTATATCTAAAAATTTTAATTCAGGTGTCACCTTAGGGGTCAAAGGTTACAGGCATTCAATGTTAGTTTTCAGCCTTGCCCCTGACATGCAGAGATTTCTCTGGATTCCCTGAATCTTTTGATGATATCATGGATTTTAGATGGCGTTATTCTAAATTCCTTGCAATTGTGTGTTGAGAAACATTGTTCTTAAACTGTTATCTGCCCACATACTGTTTCATAAAGTCGTCATCCTTGCTTGTAACAACTGAGCCTTTCTAAGATGCCCCTTAAATACCAAATAACGATGTTTTAATGGGTTACTAATCAACCTTTTTTCCTGTGGAATGTTCCAATCAGGTGTTTTTCCTAGCAAATAATATCAAAATAAGTTAATACAATAAATTAAACCTTCATTAATTTCACTCTTCTATTAATCTTTCATTACTCATTCTAATTTTCAACTCCATTTTCCTTTTTGGGGTCTTTGCACAGATTAATGATTTCTTTATTTCCCTACTTTTAACATCCTGTTTCCCACACATTATCCAATTAATTAGAAATGACAGTGTAAAAGAAAACTGATTGGTGGTAAAAGAAAAAAAAATAAGCTAGCTGGTTAGAGGTTAAAATTACAATGCTATTTTTAATGTTATATTCAATTTTGATTATTTAATATGATTTATGATCTTTGAGGTGTTATATTTTTGTCTTTTGTCATTTCAGGGCTCCAAAATCAGGAACTTCTAAAATAATGTCTAAGATTTCGTAAGATATTTTAGAGTTTGTTTTTTTTAAAGTAAACTATTATAGGAACAAAACAGACTTTTTGTTTTGCCTTACTTCTGTTTGCCTGGAATTCAAATTCAAAGAATAAATTCTCCACTAAAAGCAAAAAAAAACCTTGTCCCGGTCTGTGCGCGGTGTTTCCACCAGGGGGCAGTGTAACACCAGGAAACACTTGACATCTCAGCTGAGGAAGATTCCTGTTGTCCAATGAGCGCGCAGGTTATTCTGGTCCCGACCAATCTTCTGCCACGGTGGATGGGCCGTTATTGAAGATGCATTTGGGGATAAGGGGGGCATGTGGAGCCAACTGTTGGGACAGAAAAGCTTCTCGTTGAGTCCGAAGTTGGGCAGGCTGCTTATAAACATGAACTCCGTGTCTTTCACTTTGGCGCTCGGGTTGTTCTGGTGTGCGCTGGCCACAGACTTTCACCAGGGAGTAAACTTGTCAGACTTGAGGAGGCTGCAGAGGGAGTTTGGCAGTGATGAGGAGCGACATAGTTTAGAGAAGTCGGAGATTTCGAAACGCAGCGCAGGACTGAATGAACAGACATGTACAGCTCTGCCTGCAGCAGAGTCAGCTCTGCGAAACAACACCCATTCTGTAAGTGACCTATACAGGTTTGTTTTAACTCACACTTTAACAACACTGAACTGAAGGAGTGTTTTAACTGTAGTTGGTGTTAACTCACAGGCTACTGCAGTGTGTGTGTGTGTGTGTGTGTGTGTGTGTGTGTGTGTGTGGTCACTCAGCACATGAAGCTGCTCATAATGTACTCACTGTAAACAACTTAACAAACATTTCACTCAAACACATTAACTTTACACATCATTTACCATGGCAACAACATGAATGGGTCATGGTCTGAGAGCTCCATGCAATTTGGATGGAGTAAGTGAGTCCTGCTGTGAAGAATCTGTATTTAATGGTAGTTATTTGTATTATTTAATAATCGATTAATCGTAATAGTCGATTTTCAAACAGAAATCCTTCCAACTGTGAGGACTTTCTGCTTTTCCTTGCCTTAACAACACTCAGTCAAATAACTATATTTGGGTTGTAGACAGCTGGTCAGACACAAAAAAGTGTCACAATAATCTGACCCAAGACCAAAATCTATTAGATAAATAATCAACAGAATAATTGATAAATAATCAGCTGCAGCCCTGATCGAATTTAATGCACACTTTTAAGTAATGATTCATTATTGATTATTTTCTCAAGAAACTGTTTTGTCTTTAAAATGTAGGTAAAAAGTTTCCCAGAGCCCAAATAGCCTGTATTGTCCAACTGACAGTAAAAAATGAAAGATATCCAATTTAGGGCTGCAACTAGTGATTATGTTCATTATTGATCAACCTGCAGATTAGTTTTTGATGAGTCATTTAGGCTATAAAATGTAGGAAGAAGAGAAAAATATATATCTTCAACTTCTCCAAACCCACTGTGATGTCTTCAGTTTCACAAAACTTAAAGATATTCAATTTACTGTAATATATGAGAAGGATAAGCATCGAATTCTCACACGTGAGAGGCTGAAACCAGGAAATGTTTGGCATTTTTGCTTGAAAAATGACTAAAGCACTTAATCGATTATCAAGTAGTTGAGAATAAATCCATTGAATAGCTCTAATGATACATGGCAGAGAAAATTAGCATATATTGAGGAAGGTGAAACTGGCAAATGTTTGGCTTGAAGAAGTGCTTGAATAATCTAATGTCAAAATAGTTTCCCATTTATTTTTTGACTTTCTATCTGTTACTCTTTTAATTGATTAGCCAAAATGTAGGTCGGCAGTCTGGGTCAAATCCATTAGTCCTGTTGACTTATAATGGAGGTTGAATGAATGATGTGACTACAGAAATTCATGAACATTTAATCGTGCTGTTTCAGTCTAGTAAGAGAAGGATTGTGGAAGTAGGGCTGGGTGAGATGGAGAAAAAATATCACTATGTTTTTTAACAAGTACCTCTATATCGATATTGCAGCACTATTGTAGGGTTGGTGCCTTTACAAAATATTTACTCAGTGATATTGTTACAAATAACAGAACAGCTAGAACAGTCTGGTAAGTTCAGAAAATGACATCACTTTACTGTAATGCAGCCTTTAAAACCAGGAAAAGACAACACATACAATATTACGATATCCAAAATCTAAGACAATATCTCGTCTCATATTACTGTATGGATATATTATCAATACATCCCTCAGCTCTACTTAGAAGAGTCAGCTGATATCTGTATGTTTAGAATTGGTTTTAGCATCCGAATCTGATGTGATAGCTTGAACAATATCTTTTTTTTTTGTTGTTGTCTCTTTCTTCTTCCAGTCTTGAACTCTAGCCCTGATCCCACATTATAATAGACCAAAGGACACCTTCCGTTATTTTAGTACTGAACATGTTGTAATAGGAAGCACATCAAGAACAACCCAGATGTCCAGAGGAATGTTCAAGAATAACAGCTTGGTCCAAAGCTTCAGAGGGCAGTCTTCCTGTGTGTGTGTGTGTGTGTGTGTGTGTGTGTGTGTGTGTGTGAGAGAGAGTGTATGTGAGTGATGGGTGAAGTGGACGTTACATCATTTCTGTGGTTTAGACACCTGGGCTAGCTTTTTGAGCATGAAAGCGATTCGGTGTGCTCAGAGAGAGAGCAGACCCCTCCCGTCTCCTCTGGGCCTTTATCCCTCACAAACATTCCCCACGTTTTTTCTGCTGGACTTGGTCTGAGCGTCAGTGGGGACTTAAGTTTTCTGTTATCCGAGCTGCAGGGTTAGGTCAGACAAGGTAGTTTGAGCATTTAGATCACTTAGTGTGCACCCCCTATTTTTTAATTTGCTGTGGAAACTGCCACATCAGACCAGCCTAACTTACTCCTACGCTTATTTGTATGCTATTTTAGGCCTTGATAGACTACACAGGATGTGTTCTGTCAGCCAGCCCAAACTTTGCCTCATTTTCCCTTTTTTCCCTGTATGTTTGTGTAAGGTTCATTTAGCTGACTCTGTCTGGTTTACAAACTGGCTTGCTGTTTCTTTTTTTTCTTTTTTCTACTCCTCGCTCCATCCCTCCGTCCTCTATCCCCTCCGGCCAGAAGAACGTAGAGAAAAAACATGTTCTGTTTTCAGGGTGAAATGTAACTGGGTCGTAGCCAGCTGTTGGAGCACCAAGAAAAGCAGCAGAGTTGATGTTCCACATGGAGGGCGAGGGGGAGAGTTATGGAAAGTATGGGTTTGTTGATACACAGGGAGAGTCGTCCATTCAGATCAACAAACTAGTGAAAATAGAGAGGCGCTTGTAGAGTCGGATGTAGACTTGTATTTGAAAGTTGTCATCGTCAGTCATAGAAAGTGGAGAAATGATCAAGTATGTGTACAATCTGTGTTGTGTGTACCACAATCCACCAGTGCTAACAGTTGATGAGCATACAGAAAACTAATCAACCACAATCATTGTTAACTCAAATGTTTCAGTCATCCATCAAACAAAAAAGCCAAAACATTGCTGGTTCCAGCTTCTCAAATGTGAGGATTTGGTCTTTTTCCTCTGTTCTCTATCAATAAATATTGAATAAGGGCTGAAACCAATAAACAGCTAATTATTTTCTTGATTGATAACTTAATATTTTGGTCTAAAACATCAGGAGACAGTGAACAAGATGTATGGTGCGTTCCATTTGTACTAGGATGTTAGAATTTCCAAGTTCCCAGTTGGAAATTTCAACTGGAATGTCCTCTGAAGTTGGACTTGGAAAGTTGGAGGAACCTGACCAACCCCGACCTCATAATCAAAGATGGCTTTTCGCTCATCTACAGTAGGGAAAGCTGTAGTAATGTACTGTTTATTAGCACTTCTGTCTTAATTCAATGTCTTAATCTCATTAAAACAGTCGTACAAACAGTACTGTCCAACTTCTATCAGTGGACATGTTGCTATGGTTTTCGGATGCACAAAATACAGTGGGATGTGTTGATATCAGCTCGTATTGCTAACAGTGGCTATCCTGGCTTGAACTGGTATTGCAACAACAGCTTGGTTTTCCAACTTTTTGTGTTGGAACACAATCAACTTAGGTGTGATGCAAGCCCCTACAAAGTGTGCCAGGCTTTGAAGCCAATTTTCTTAATGGAATTATAGTGGAATTACAACTTCTGAGTTTGTCACATGATGCCATTGATTCCAAAAAGACTTTTTTCACATTGACTTACATTGGGAAAAATATGTCTGTATGTCATATTTTGTGAGCGTGACAACCCCAATGACTCATTTCACTATCAGGATCTGATTCATTCGGTTCAATAACATTTGTAAAGTCTAGAAGAGCCACATGATTAAAGCCCTTTATCCCCATTCAAGTTAGGGTATCGCTAAACCAGAGGTAGCTGGCTCTGCTGGTGGAAGTCTTTAGTGTGCTTGCTCTGGGGGCCCAATGATAAGGAAGCAGCACCAATCATCTAGGTAATTTTCATACCCCAGAAACACAGCTTTTTTGGCTTCACGTGCCGCTGAGCAACTTCCCAAAGAATGAATGGGGGCCCACCCCCAGCGTTGTATCCAAGTCTGTTAATACATCTATTAACAGACCTGTGACGTCATTCCTAGCTGCAGCTTCCGAGCTAAACGGAAAGCAGAGTCAGAGTGTACATATTACTTGGCCATGTCAGTGGCTCCAATGCTAACATACTAATGTTTAGCAGGAAATGTTTATCATGTTCACCATATTAGTTTAACATGTTAGCATGCTAACATATGTTAATTAGCACAAGAGTTGCAACTAGTAATTCAATTTGATTAATTGATTAGTTGTCAGCTTTTAAATTGATAGCCAGCTAATCTGCAGATTAACGATGAATTGGTTTTAGTAATTTTTTAAGGAAAGAAAAGTCAAAGTTCTCTGATTCCAGCTTCTAAAATGTAAATATTCTCTTGTCTCTTAACTCCTCTGACAGTAAACTGAATATCTTTGGGTTGTGAACAAAGCAAAACACTTGTGGACGCCATCTTGGACTTTGGGAAACACTGATCAACCTTTTTCATCATTTTCTGACCTTTAATAGACTGAACAACTCATCATTTAATAGAGAAAGTAATCAACAGATAAATCAGCCCTAATTAGCAACTAACCCACAGAACAGAACAGCATTGCCTTCCCCAAAGCCCTAATGCTGCTAGCACTGCTAAAACAAGCTGAGCAGTTAATCAGTCATCAAAATAACCTTTTGCCAATTGAATAACCGATAAAGCAACAAATCATTTTAGCAGTAGATTGATTTCTGGTGGACATAATTTCACTTTTTTCTAATATTTTATAGACTGACCATTCTATCAACAAATTAAAAAAAAAAAAACATTGTTCGTCCTGGTTTTCTTTAATAATAATAAGCGAATGAAGGACTTTAATGCAACCCAGCTTGTATCTCTGCCCACAAAACTTAGCCAAGCATCAGAGGATTAGAGAACACAGCATCATGTGTTAGATCAGAGCCCAGAGTGTTTGACCTCCTCTTCTGAAGTTTTATGTGTGTAAACATGGCAGAAGCAGAAAGGTTAAAACCCAGAGCAGAGGGAATAAGGAGCTCATTGTGTTGGTGTCTGACCTCTGAGAGAGGACTTCACTGTGCTCTCACCCACCAACACTGTGTATTACTGAGTCTGCATGGATGTATGTGTCTGTTCACCCACAGCAGCATATGTGATACTCACTTGCATGTCATTATTGTACACCTTTTAAAGTTGAGTTGGCCGACACACCTTGAATGCATCATGAGTTACTGTGCAGACGAAGCTTAGAGGAGCCTTTTAGGAGCAGAACCCTAAATTCAACATGTGATACAGCATGAGGTCATGTCTGGTTTGTGAGGCCGAGCTCAGCCGGGTCAGACATTTATCTCTTGAATTTTTCGCTGACTAACATGTATCTTTTTTTTCTCTTCACCATCTCCTTCGATGCTTCTGTTTTCCCCATCTCATAACAGAACAGAGTGATTATTAAGCTTTACATTGACTCCCTTTTCCAATCCTGCCTTACCCTTTCCCAGTCATATAAATCAGCAGATTTCACTCAGACACAACTTCCGCACCCTTTGCTTCAGCTGGCCTGCTTTAAAGTGCATTTGTTGATTGTTTGGGTTTCAGTCTCAGTGAACTGTAGCCGGTCAAGTCAGCATTTTTCCAGTCAGGAGTTTCAGAGGAACAGATGCGGAAAACACCCCGTTGGTTAGATTTAACACAGGTGTACAAGCAACTGGCAGAAACATTTGCTAAGGCCAGAGATAATACACCACATGAAACCTGCAGTGACCTTGCTGGTGTAAACTGGTGTCGCCTTGGACCCCTCATCAAAAAGCTTATGGGATTTTTCATTTGATTTTATTTTTTTTAAACATTGATGATCCTTACACATTTGGTTAGCAAGATAATCTTCACAAATGAACACTACTTTAAAAACTTTGAAGCCTAAATGTAATCGAAGCTAACATTAGGCTATAAAACTACACCACAGTCGCATGACTTAACGTTGCCCCCATAGCACAGCTGTAAAGCTGCGTTCAGTGTGAATTTCGTTCTGTAGTCTCATTTAGCCACTTCTTAGCAACCGCCTTTTTTAAGATACATAAAAGCTTCAGAATTCGTGAGTGTGGTATTTACTGATGTATTTTATGTCCTAGAACAAAACATGAAAGTCTCTTAAGCTCTTAACCACGGACCTTATTCCAGGCATCTAACCAAAAACCCATTCAAAATACCCACTGACTTCGAGATGATGGAACTGGGAGTGCAAAAATGCTAACTCATTTTCAGGTTTTAGGATGGATTCTTGGGGTCAGGCCAGATGTCAGGCTGTGTTTTTAGTTTCTTGTATACCCTAAAAGTGGCCAGTGTGAAACTTGTGTAGTTTGACTTTTTTTTGTCTAGATAACTTTTTTCTTGCCATTCCTTTCAGCCTATTAACATTGTTTGCATTCTGATTATGACCAAATTAAATGGGTTTCCCCTTTAGGGTTAACACAAGAGAGGATAGCAGGTTTTTGATATCAATGTTTGAGTTTTAAAAAATCTGAACATAAACATAAATACATTTCCACCAGCCTCAGCTGTACTTTGTGTTTGCTAATTAGCAAATGTTAACATGCTTACATGTTAAAATACATGGTGAACACAGTAAACATTATACCTTTCAAAAAATACTGCATGTTGACATTAAGTATGAGATTTTGAGCATTAAAAGTAGCCTGCAGCATCCCCACCTGCCCCAAATATTATCATTCGATTAAATGGCTGTCATCAGTTGTCATTGGGAGCATAGATTTGATGTAGTATGGCCCCACTCTACCTCCTATATTTATGTTTATTGTTAAGTGGCAGCATCTAATGGCTGTAGTAATTATGACAAAGGAGGAAGTAAGGTGACGTAAGAACGACAAAGTCTACATAGGCTGTAAGTCGGGGTTGATTGGTTAGATAAACACAGGACTTTCACCCTGGAGACTGCTGTTAGTGTCCTGACTTTTCTTAAAGGCACAATTAAATCTCCAGTATTCATATATTTTATCTAGTTAAGGGATAGGCTTATCTGTCCTCCAAAGCGAAAGCTGACATATATTAAGATTGATTGATAGATTGGTTAGTTTAATTGAAATCCTAACTTTCAGTGTACTTATTACCGACAAATGAGCGTCATCATTTATTGACAAAATTAATACATTTTAAAAACATCAGATATAACCTTAGATACATGCTATTTTTGTCATAATAGAGCACAGTTAATCAGGCTAAGACCAGGAAATGGCTGTTTTTAATCATATAAAACTAGTGTTTTGATTGTCAGCTGCTATACTTTTTGAGTATAAGTACTGGAAGTCAATGCATGTATGTGTAGATGGGAGGGCAGAGGAATATTCATAGTTTACCCTCGTCTTTTGTTAACACTTTACTAGAGCGACATTGACCACTGATGTCAGTATGAGTTAAACCTTAAATCTCAAGTGTGACCATAACACTGACATTTAACCCACATTCACAAGCTATAAAAACACTTAACTATTTAATATTTTTTTGTTTTTACAATTATGCCTATTTCTACATAGATGGAAAGAAAGAAGAGCAGGAAAGATGGAGAGAGGGAAAACCAACATGTAACAGTACTCCTTCACAGATTTGAAGCCAAAACACTGGTTTAATGGTATGAGACTGTTGGGAGGATCGGACACGTCATGCTTTACATTTTTGAACTGATCAACAGACAGACCAGCAAAGGAGGGGAGGTTGTCATGCAATCAACTGATGAAGAGATGAAGGAACAGTTGGATGCAGGGAGGGTGTGATGAAATGATTTATGTAGAGGAGTGATGGAAAGTTGTGTTCACACACTTGGACAGCTGGGGACAGGCCAGTTTCCACTGGACCTATTTACAAGGAGTTTCCAGCAGCCAGACCTGGCCGTCTCCTGTGGCTTTATAGAGCTGTATGCCGACTCTCTGGGGCTGGGCTCACCTTGTAAACATCTCTGCCCCTGCCAGTAACAGAGAGGAGGGGAGAGAACTTCAGTCGCTAAATATGTTGATGAAATGACCAAACACTTGAACGTCAACCTGGATGAATAGCTTGGAATGTTGTTTGCGGTCAGTGCACTTGTTGTGAAATAAGAATTCAGGTCCAAACTCTTTCTGTTCATTACCTCTAATATTATGCAACACTGAGGTTTTGTGTTTGGATTTTATTTTTAACTTTAAGTTTTTCATAACCTCTGAAATGTATGAACAAATGGCTAAACAGTGAGGATTTTACATTTCACTTCTTGTCAGAATAGAATACTTTTGGTCTACTTTACTGTATGTATGTGAGTCTGTGTGAATGTGTGTGTGTGTGTGTTCTTGCTGTGCTCGGGGCATCGGTAATTGTCTTGTTCTCTGGCCTCGGCTTTGTCATTTAGGCGGGAATGTAGGTCACACACGCAGAGTGCATCCAAATGGCCGAGTTACTTTGGACAGTAAGAACAATTCATTCTGTGTGACGTAAACGCACACACACACTCACACACACACACACACACATGCAAACACTCTTATGTTTTGTATATTTCAAACTAGACTCTGGATTTATGTGTGTGTTCCTTAGTTGATGTCCTGAAACAGTATTAAACAAACAATATCACGGGGCTAAGAAGTACTTCAAATAGTCCTACATGGGGCTAGTCAAGAAGCCTTTAGCCAGGATAACTCATTGATTGTCTCCTAAAAACTTCTTCTCTTCCAGTTCACCTTCAAAGTGAGGACCATGGGTTCACTGTCACTGGCCTGGGTGGGAGATGGATCGGGGGTGAGTTTGTTTATATGAGTGAAAATACACAACTAAAAACGAAACCAAGAGTCTAAGATGGTATGGCGATTGTTACATAACCCCTGTTCTCTTCTCCCAGGTGCTCCTGGTATTGACGACATTTCAGGTGCCGCTGTTCATGATGCGTTTTGGCCAGTCGAACCTCTACAGGAGGTGAGAAGTGGTTGATGGCAACACTAAGTAGAAACAGTAAATTGTTTGTCATAGCTGTGGTCTGACGGTCTAACTGCGGTCTGACGGTCTAACTGCAACTTTGTCACTGTGTCAGTGAAGACTATGGGAAGACGTTCAAAGATGTGACGCACCTGATCAACCACACCTTCATTCAGAGCGAGTTTGGCATCGCAATCAGTCCCGATCACTCGGGCAAGGTGAGCTGAAGTATGTTATTTTTAGTTTCTGAAGTGCTGAAGATGCAGGACCTTGCACATATAGACCTTTGTGTTTTGTTGTGGTCGATCTATATAGAAGTGCATTCCTTTGCCTCACAGTGACAGAAAATCATAAAGCTCCACTTAACTTGTGTGTTTTAGGTGATGCTCACTGGTGACGTGTCAGAAATCGGAGGGTTTAAACTGTTCCGCTCGCAGGACTTTGGCATGACCTTTGTTCCAACCGACCTGCCGTTTGAGCCCCTCATTCAGATGCTGTACAACCCTGGAGACTGCAACACACTGCTGACGCTCAGTATCACGGTAGTAGCCTTTCCTCTTTAGATCAATCCAAACCTCCTCAAATTTTTGTCGGCAGGTCTGAATTTTAGTAAAGTAAATTACACCGGACTTTCCTACCTCCCTTAATTGGATACCTATTTCAAGTTACTTAATTCCTAATTAGGTATAACTGAATACTCCAAAGTCTATGGACACTTTTTTTACTGACTAAGCCTTTTTCCCTCCAGTTGGACCTGTGGCTGTCTGAGGACTTTGGTGCCACCTGGAGGAAAATCCATGACAGTGTTTGTTTGGTCAGATGGTGAGAAATGTCCTCTACATCTGTCAGTTTTGTAATAGCTTATAAATACACGAGACCTGTGGTTTGTGGTTGGTACTAAACATGTAGTGGATTGCATAATGAAGAACCAAGACAAACATAAGGGATTCTAAGAAAATGATTGGAGGGAGGAGGGGGCCTGAAACTTATGGCTAAAAAAGGTAATGTTGTTTTTAATATTTGGCTTGGTCCTTCCTCTTGACAACCCTGATATTATACATTAAAGGGACAGTCCATCCCAAAATCAAAAATACATATTTTTCTTCTTACCTGTGGTGCTGTTTATCAGTCTGGATAGTTTTGGTTTGAGTTGCATAGTGTTATTAGTGTTATAGTAATGTTGACGGTAGAGTGAAGATGCCCTCTGTCATTTAATGGCACTCGGCTTGTGGTGCTCATTTGAAAAACTCAACCGCAATGTCAGATTCCAGAAATCATGACCCACTTATTCAAGATAATCCACAGACCTTGTTGTGAGCAGTTTCATGTAGGAACTATTTTCTTTGTACCAAACTACACCCGCCAACCATTTCACTGGACAGGAGGGAGTGTGCATCTACTGCAACAATGAGACAGCCACGCAGAGCAGTTCACCAAACATTCTTATACTCCTCCTTAGATAAGACATCATACCTAACTTTCTGTGTGTGTGTGTGTGTGTGAGAGAGAGAGAGAGAGAGAGAGAGAGAGGCACATTCTGCTCTCATCATCCTGCCCCATTGAAGGTTGTTCAATCTAAGTAAACATACTTTGCTTCTAACCTGGCCTTAACTGTCTGACATTTCTAGGCCTTTTCGTTACCCAACTAGCTCACCTAGCACCACTGAGCTAGCTAATGTTACAGCTGAGCTGAAGAGGACACCAACAATATTCACATCTCATGCTGTCAGGAGCACGAGCCTCTCATCCATGAGCAGATGTACTCTTCCTTCTGTGCAGTGATTTTTGGTGCTTTGAGTGCACCAAAAATCAGAGGCAGATGTCTGTGCAGCCAATATCTCCAACACTCAGCAACTCAAACCAAACCAGTCTAGATTGATACATAGCACTGCAGGTAAGAGGAAAAATGTATTGTTGATTTTGGGTTGAACTGTCCCTTTAACTCTTCATCGAGCATTTAACTTAACTGTAGTTCTGCTATAATGCAGACCAAAGCTAAGGCAACTGTTGGCCACTGTAAAAATGGCACAATCTTCAAACTAAAAATACACGCATCTACTGTTTCACTAAACTGATTTTTGGTACTATAGCTGGGACATGATTGATGTTCTCTGCTTATGGCAAAAAGTGCCTTTATGATCCATGGCGCACACACTGTAGTAAATCAGTAAACACTAAATCTCGGTGGAAAAGGATGAAACGAAATATATATATTTGCGTCATGGAAAATTTATATACCCTTTCCTCTAAAGATTCTTTTCTTCAGAAATAAAATTGGACCACCCTCCCTTCAGTAAAGAACTAAAACCCCTCTCCTTCTCTGACCCCAAGTTCACCAATAATAGTTTTCATACAGTCCCTTAATACATGTCACTACTTCTATGTATAATATAATTTACTTAATTGGCTTAGAGTGAAAAAAAATTTGTCAAAGCAGGACATAACACACTGACAGGGTGTGAAACAGCTCTGTCCATATTTGTGTCCAAACAGCCACCATGTGCATCTTTGTTTTTGCTACAACAGGAGTGTGTTTGTGTGTTTTTTGTCCAATTTTTGTTTTTCCAGCTGTTTTTTCTCCCCACAGTTTGGATCGTTTTCCTGTCTCTGGTTTCTTTTGGGCACCAGAGTTCACATGAGGTTGTAGTGTCAGCCTGCGGTTGTTAGCGCTGCATTGTGGGAACATTGTGATAGCTCTGCGTGACCACAGCTGTTATTTAGGCCCCAACCTAAATTGACTGGAGGGAGAGAGAGAGAGAGAGAGAGAGAGAAAGAGAGAGAGGCTGCTGTCAGAGTGAATCATGAGTCAGCAACAGCATTCTTATTCAGCCCACAGTCCTTGAACCGGCAGAATCTTTGCAGTGTGAAAACCTCCGTCCCCTTTGGCAGCGAACAAAGCCAGAGAGGGCCTGGACCGCCGCCCGGGGGTCGATATGTGCCTCGCTCGCACAGCACTTAGAAGAAACCACAACCATAATCTGTGATCGCTACAAATTCCAAAAGTGGATTTACATTTGAACTCAGACAACTTTCAGATGTTCAAAAACATGCGAGCACTCTAAGATCGTTCCTTCCTCGAGATTCTTTTGTTCACCGTTTCTTTTTCACACACAGGGGTCCAAAAAACAGCATCTACTTCACAACAAACTACAATGGATCGTGCAGTAAGTGAAGATAGTATAGTCACACATATATTTAAGATTCTGAACTACATCTTAGTAACTCTACTTTCTTTCAGGTGACAAAGGAATGTTGGAGTTGAAGAAGACAGCAGACTATGGTCGAAGTTTCAAGACCATTGCAACAAGAATTTACTCCTTTGTACTGGGAGGGCGCTTTGTTTTTGCCTCCATCATGACTGGCATGGTATGTGTGTGTGTGTGTGTGTGTGTGTGTGTGTGTGTGTGTGTGTGTGTGTGTGTGCGCAAGTGTTCAATCTAAGAGCAGAATGTGTGTGTTCCAATCTGCCTTGCATCGTTTTCTGATGCATACAGTTTGTCTAAATATGCACTTGTGTGTGTTTATTCACGCAACCCTGGCTGTGTATAATGTTTCTTTAAATACCTACATGGTCTGGTCATTCACAATAGACCAGACCAGCATTGCGTCATAGCCAGGGCCACGCCCCCTTTTGGGGGAAAGAAACATGCTGTCACATAAGAAGAGAAATAAGAAAATGCTGAAAAACTGTTGGGTAGCACGTTAACCAAAGCCAGTGTGGTAAATGGCTGATCGATGCTGGTGACAGTTACTACTGATGGATAGCTAGCTTGAATGCCAGGCTGCTGCAGTACAGACATAGCAGCATCAGACTATTATCTCCAACTAAACCTCAGCCTACGGGTCAAACAGTTGGTTATTTACAGACAATAATTAGCCTACAATACCTGGTGATTCAATCAAATATATAAAGAAGTTGGGATGTTCTGTCATTGATGCACTTGAATTAGGGAAGACTGAATGGAGATGACAGTGATCGACTTTAATTTATTAAGATATCCTGAATACTCAGGTTCAGGCAAGGTCACAAAATTATTAAAAGGCATGTCTATAAAACAAATGTTTGTTTAAAAAGAAATAAATTTGCACACACTTGTCGAAACTGTTATCCAAACACACATCAAATTGCATTGACATCTATAGGTTTTGGTTTTCTATCCCCCATAAAGGTGTGTGGCCTTTATATTTTGCGTAATACCTGTTTGTGCCCTCCTGGTCTGTATATATTTAGACACTCAGTAACATTTTTGTACAGATTTAACCTTCCTCTGTGCATTTTAGAAGGTAAAGACTCAAAGGGCCAGTTTATTCATATTCCCAAAAACACCAAAGTGGTATCTAGCCATCCTTGACCCCATTTTCACCTGGCGTCGACATGCGATGTGTAGTGAGATTAAGGAAAAACATATGTTAATGCATGGTGTAAATGCACGCAGTATGCATTGTGATCAGATCAGCCAGGCCACATCTGGAGGTATTTTTTACTCACGTATTGTGATCAGATCTCAGCCAGGTCGATTGATGCAGTCCGTACAGCGTGACCACATTCTGAAGATAAAAATCACCTAACTCCGTCTCTTCCTGCTGGCTGAGGATGACGGGCTAAAGCTCCATTTGGTAGCTGTAGAGATAGTTTTCCCCAGCACAAAGTGACCCCTGTCCATGGCATTGCTTTCCATGACTTGGGATGAGCCATGTTTGCTGACTGCCAGACCCACCTAACTAATTTACATATTTAGACTGTGGCAGGTTGATTTGAGACAATGAAAACACTACTGATAGCAGGTGTAAATGCAAAGGCAAGTAGATTGGATGTCACCGCCCAGATATTTTTATATACCTTAACAGGAGGTTTAAATGGGAAATTGTTATTATATGTTCAGGATTAATGTGTAACAAACTCCCACAATCAAGCAGGTGTAAGATAATTTATGGCCCTTTAACGTGGCTTAACATTTAATATTTCTGTCATTTGTGTTTGTGTGTAGGGTACAGAGCGTATGATCCACGTGTCAGTGGACGGTGGTGAGGTGTGGAACATGGCTCAGCTTCCTACTGTCAACCACGAGCAGTTCTACTCCATCCTGGCAGCCAATCAGGACATGATATTCATGCACGTGGACGACCCTGGAGGTCAGAACCAGTGAGGATGTGGACAGGGATGATTGATGTGGATGATGATGATTTTGACAACGTTGATAATTACAGATGATGCTAATGATTAACAATAATGTTTATAAGGCACAATGACCTTCATGCAGACAGTCTGATTAGATGTCCTTGAGAAAGATCCTGAAGCTGCAGGAAGTTTCTCTGTGGGGATCATTGGGCAGAAGCCTCTGGGCTGTCATATAGTGTTTCCTCCAAACTCATGTGCTGTGTCTGTGTGTGTACTGTGTCGTCCAGACTCTGGTGTTGGAACCATCTATGTGTCAGATGACAGAGGAGCCGTGTTCTCCAAGTCTCTGGAGCGCCACCTTTACACGACCACAGGAAGTGACACTGACTTCACTGCCATTACTTCACTCAGGGGCGTCTACATGACCAGCGTACTCACAGAGGGTGGGTCAGCAGCACGTTACATAATACTTCAGCATTTAAGACGACTCATGTAGTTAATTTTTGTCAACATTTTAAAATATGATATTCTTATCTTTCCATTTAATTACAAAAAGTTATGTTAAGTTGCATATAATACATACATCAAGACATACTTAATGTGGGGCAAAACAGTGTGCTGCTTTTGGACTGATGGATTGATTTCCTAATTTGTGAAAAGTGTATTCAAATGAAAAATAATTTGCTGTCACATGACGCTAGGGACAGGTAATTAACCACACTGAACATCTCATCACATGTACGTACTGTATGTTTTTTAATGCCTACCATACATTAGCAATAGCTTTCCATGTAGGCGCATGGAAGGGCAGGGAAATTTGCTCCCTCTGCCTCAGGCTTTCCTTGTGTGCACATGGAAGGGCAGAGAGGTGTGCTCTCACTGGTTTTCTTCCTATAGTGATATGAACTAGTAGGCAGTACATCAGTCCAGAAACTGAGGAAATGTTTTAATAAATTGTTAAGGGTCAGGTAAAGTTTGTATTTTATAGTCTGCAGGCTATGGGCTAAACATGTAAAGAATATCTATATGGATCCTGATGGTAATTGAGGTGAATCTTACTGACTGCAGATGGTGTTGTGGAGACGGTGATCACCTTTGACCAAGGAGCAAAATGGCAGACGTTGCGCAGACCGCAGAACAGCCAGTGTGACACTGAGACCTCCACCAACAGGCCTAACAGAGTAAGACACCCACAGATTTATATACATCATATTTGAATATGCATTATACATGTTTGTGTGCATGTACTTTTCATTATGTCTTGGGTGTTTTATTTATGTTACAAGCTGTTTCAGTGCTTGACATGTCATTAAATCTGTCCTGTTTTTGTTTCTGTGGAATTAGTATGAGTGTCTGCAGTGAGCTTGTTGACTTTAAACCAACATTACCCTAATTATCATGTCTTTACAGTGCAGACTTCACATCCACGCCTCCTACAGCACCACCATGAAGATGAACGTCCCCATGCTGCCTCTGTCACAGCCCAGTGCTGTGGGCCTCATTCTGGCCCACGGTAAGAAAAGCACACAGATTTCTTCACCCTTAATCCTTTCACTGCATGTTTAAATGTCCCAAAACACCATTGTCCTCTATTTCTGTAGGGAGCGTTGGAGACGCAGAGTCAGCTCTCTCCCCTGATGTGTACGTGTCTGATGACGGGGGCTACTCGTGGATGTTGGCTCTCAGGGGCCCGCACCATTACGCTATACTGGACTCTGGAGGGCTGCTGGTGGCTGTGGAGCACACCAACTCACCTGTCAACCAGATCAAGTAAATATAACTAGTAGTTATCTAGTATAACTAGTATACTTGTTTATTGAAGTCTTAGTTTTTTTTTATCAGTTGTCAGTTTAACAGTTTATTTTTTGCTTCATGGGCTCTTTTTGTTCTCTCATTCTTTGCCCCTACACCTCCAGGTTTTCAACAGATGAGGGGCAGTGCTGGCATTCATATAACTTCACCAACGACCCACTTCACTTCAGCGGTATGGACAGTGAGCCGGGCTCTCGCTCCATGAACGTCAGCCTATGGGGCTACAGGAACGATTTCAGTAAATGGGTGGTGATTACCATTGACTTCAAGAAGCTCCTCACCAGAGACTGTGAGTATGTGAGGGAATACAGTACGAGTGATGACTGGCTGGTGTTTCACCTGAGGACTTACTTAGTGTCTATATATTCTGTGCAGGTAGTGAAGGGGACTATGTGCAGTGGCTGGCTCACTCTGCAGACCCCAGTGGAGCTAGTGATGGCTGTGTTCTGGGCTATAAAGAGACCTTCTTACGCCTGAGGAAAGACTCTGTCTGCTGGAACGGAAGGGACTATGCAATTACTAAGAGGCTGTCCCCCTGTCCGTGCACAGTGGACGACTATCACTGGTATGTTGTTGTGAAATGCCAAAAAGTATATTTTCAAACTGCATTTAGTGTAACCATGAGACTAAAGAGAACAGACTCAGACACAGTTTGTCTCAGTAACTTGTTTTGTCTTACAGTGACTTTGGATATTATCGTCCAGAGAACAGCTCAGAGTGTGTGGAGCAGGAGGAGTTGAAGGGTCGTCCTCTGGAGTTCTGTTTAAATGGCACCACCGAACAGCTACAGACCAGCGGGTGAGGACACATGACTTTATCTTTGCTCTCTCTTTCCTCGCCTGTAGTTTAGGAGACAAGAAACAGACATTGTATGCATAATTCTGATAATGTAAGGTACATGACAACAGACAAGCCAACAGTAATTCAGATACAAGTGTGACCTCACCACCTCACTTCCAGAAACCCATTACAGATGATTAAATTAAAGTCTAACTGGGAATCCCCTTTGGAAGTCAGACGTAAGCAAGATGTGAGTGCCACATAAGCCTCCTGTCATCCAGTCCACACTGACTCAGTGTTCTGTTAAAGTCTAAGCCGTCTGTCAGCAGCAGCTCTGGGGAGCTGAGTGGACGCTGATAGCAGAAATTTCATGTCGGCTCAATGGGAAGAAGTCAACACTGTCTTTATTTATTGATTCATTGATTATATTCCCCCGCCCACCATAACGAGTGAGGGGAATCTGCCTGTAGTGAAACTGGCAAGCTCACAGACCGACTGGGAGCCTTGATCAATCAATGTAGGTATTGGTAATAAGTAGGAAACACATATACAGTGGGGTATTTGTGTGATTATAACAGATGTCTATGCAGATAATGCTTTACCAAATGCAACATGAATAGACTTGGAAGTGTAAAAAAACGGGGGGTTCTCTGTGAGCAGCATGTTAGTGTGGCTCAATATATTTAATGTAATTAAATTGTATCTGTTTGTGAGATGCAGGAGGGATGCTTCTAAAAAGGCTTTCACTATGAACTGGCCTTAAGTGTCGAATGTCATCTAGGACCCCTACATAAAGCCTTTGTTCTGTGAGGATGTAGTTCAAATATGTTTCCATTTCTGCAGCTCTTCTGCCTTAACATCTCCCTCCGTTACTGGTATGAATCTTATCTGTAGTTTACCAGCTGCCTTGCCTGCCCTGTGTCCCTTTCATTGAAATTTGTCATGCATTACAAGTTTCTTCGTCTCCCCTTCTGTAAGCTACCGGAAGATTCCAGGAGACCAGTGTGAAGGAGGATTCCAGCCAGACAGGAAGGAGACAGACCTGAGGAGGATGTGCACCAGCAATGCTCTTTATCCAAATTCTCTGGTAAGTCCAAGCAAATTAGGTCAATTTTATTTATACAGCACCAAAACATTAAAAAAAAGTTATTTCAGGACACTTTTCACAAAGAGCAGGTCTAGAACATACTTGATTTTTAGAGACCCAACAGAGACTAGTTAACTGTATATTGGGACACAGTGAGAATCAATAGGGGACTCTCTGATGTTTGGCATGAAGGTGTGAGTTGGTTATGTAGAAACAGTGTGAAATGGGTTTCCAACCACTTGTAGTGCAAATTTTAACTAAATTTCTAAAACAAATCTGTAAAAATAAAAAAAATGCAAATTAATGTTTCCATCCATTATGCAAGTATTAGTTGGGTGCATTGAGATAAACAGTTGGTGGCGCTAACACTCCAGCCTGTTACCTTTATACCATTGTTTTTCTCACGTATTAATTTGAATAAGGTCGCAGTCCTCTCATTGCTCCATTCATTTTTATCTCCCGCAATTTTTTGTCTCTTCAGTAGATGTTTAATTCACATGCTTCATGTTTAATTCTTATTTAATTTATTAGTCAAATTCAGTGTTTTCACTCCGTTGCCATATACATATACACACAGGTCCGAAATACACACACATGCACAAACAGGACCTTTACATGCATTACATGGAGATATGCCAGAGTGAGGGGGCTGCACATGGACAGGCACCAGCCACCAGTCCACACTCCATATTTGGTCCAGGCGGGGACTTGAACCGACAAGTGTTTTGCTTTTAGCAATACACTCAGCCAATCGTGAAACTACTTTTGCAAGATTTTTTTCTGATTTTTCTGCATTTCCACTCTTTGTTTTAAATGCTCAAATAAAAAAATGCGCATAAAACCAAGCAGATGGAAACACTGAATTAAATCCTGAACACAGTAAGATATGCAGTAGCTCAGATGACCTGGGCTGTATCAGGATTGTCAAGTTTTTTTTTATATTCTTTCTTACAACCTGACTTCCCCCAGCTCCTGAACAAATCCTGTTGTTAATAGCTGGCAAAGCAGAATTCATAGTGACATCAGGCAGAGTGAGCAGACAGTCCAGCTTCCATTAGTGCCCAGGGGACTGTGTGAACACCTGCAGTGCTACGGGTCCTTATGACAGTGATACAGTGTGTCAGGGTTCAGCAGGACGATCTCAGTTCATCCAATGTGAGCACATTTACAGCTGAGAGACACTAAACCTGATAAATCACGATTGGCTGCATTTTCAAAGGTTGTTTTCTTCACATTTTCAGCCCTTTCTGTTTCTGTAACTCCAACAGACTGAAAACAGTTCACCCAACACTGCTGTCATAGTGATGGTTGTCATAGCGATGCTTCTGACGAGTGCTGTTGCAGGCGTTTGGCTGGTTAAGAAATATGTATGCGGAGGACGGTCAGTTGACTATGTTTCATCTTTCCACACACACAAACAACACTTTGAATACTGTATTTCATCTCTGTCTGCTTCTAACATGCAACTGTGTCCTCATCAGGTTCCTCGTGCACCGATACTCTGTAATGAGGGAACATGTTGAGGCTGATAAAATAGAAGGAGTCGATGATGTTGATGCTCACTACATGGAGACAGGAAAAGCACAGTACAATGAAGACTCAGATCAGGTATCTGATTCTGTTTAAAGGCCCTGTTTTTAGTCATGATCATCTATTAACTTATTTGTGTTGTTTGTGTCTCCTCACAGGACCTCTTAGAATAACGTGGACATTTCTCCCACTCCAGGACTAAATTTAACGCAGTCTTTCATGACGCCTGGGCACTCCTGTTGCTCCCACATGCTGATTAACATCTGCTTCTCACTTCTTGCTATCCCCTGGTGGCTGGAGGACTCAGCAGCACCTCACATTGCTTCCTCGCACCAGTTGAGTCTCCCTACAAAAAAAGGCCAACCATTGGTTTTGGGGAGGGGGACAAACCCAGCGCAGAACAGAAGAGAGCCTCTGGGGTCCCTGGAGAGCTTTTGTTGTTTCTGTCACAAAGAGTTCTGTAAAGACCATCGAGTCTGAATACGCACTCTGTTTGTGCTCTGTATGTTTCCTTTCATGCTGACCTGAGAAAAGATGGCTTTTCATATCGGGATGCACTGCAGGAGCACAATACAGAATAGATAGAGAAGCTTACAGAATTTTTGATAAAGAGTTAGGGAACAGCCAAGCAACAGAACATTATAATAAACAGTATTTCAGCTCAGAGACTACGTCTGCTGTCCTTTAAGTATTTTTATACAAGATCCTGTTGTGCACGGCGGCCATTTTAACATTCATTTTGTCAGCTTCACCAGCCACTAAAATTAAGCACTAATATGTTTTTAGGTAGTTGTTTGAGTTACCTGCTAGTCACACGTTTTTAGAAATCAGAATGTTTCATTTTAATAGCAGCTACTGAGAGCAGTAGTGCCTCCTTTAATATTACAAGTCACTGTTTCTGACTAGTGTTTTTCGTATATAATAATAATACACAGTATTTAGTTTTTATTGGTAGAAATGGGCCAGAATTCTAATCAAGTGATGCACTTTAGATAGTAACCTTTCAGTACACTATGATGGCTTTTTTAATACAGTATAACAGCAATAACTTTTTAATAGGCTGTTCTTTTGTATTTAAAGCAACTTTCACTGTTAAAAGTAGGTAATATTTAATAGTCAAATATTATTATTATTCATGCATAGCCTCCTGAGACCCAAACATTTGTTTAGTATGCATTTTTAATTTCTCCTAGCTATTTGGAATCAGTAGGACCCGATAAGTATAAAAAACTAAACATTGTCAACAATAATTAAGCCCCAATGTCCTCAAATGAAACGATGATGAAGTCCCAATGTCCTTGAACAAGTACTTCCTAATTAACAGCGTCAGTGTTACTGTTGCTAAAATTGGTTAAATTTGTTGCCATATCAAACTGCAAACATTATTTATCATAAATAAACAAGTTTCAACCATAAAAGGTGATCAGGTTTTGGACCTTGTCCAGTTTTGTGTCGGGATCGGCTGCAGATTGACTTGGCAGAGATGGCTGCCATCTCGTTTTTACATTGATTAGTGTACTGTGCTCTTACTACCACCTAAGTTAAGTAGAATGAAGTCTAAGGCCAAGTAAACCCAAAATGTGATGTCCTCATATGAGGACACAGGGTCTCAGGACAATAGGTCAACATTTTAGCTTATATCATTTCAGCTACAATTCAATAGTTTAAATTGATGCATGAGTCAGACTAAAATGGAGTAGTAACCAAAACATCAAAATAAGTACAAATACTTTTTAGATTAGTAAGTAGTATCTAGTGCTTAAAGAAATACTATGAAGGATTTTCCTAAAATACAACGTATAGACTCACAGTCGTAACCTTTCTCAATCATCACTTAAGACTTACTTCCTCATTTCCTTATTTTCTGTGCTTGGGACGTTAATGGGCGTGTACCCCCACAGCGCTAAGGTGAGGTCGGGGCTTTACAAAAAAAGGTAGCGACCAAGTGCCAGACCATAAGCAGCAGGAAAAATGCATATAGCACCAAATGCGAGTGAATCTGAGGTTGGCTTTTACTTTCACTGGCAAGCATGTTCACTAGCAGTAACTGACAACCCTGCATAGTATACCTTTAAGAAAGACAATAAAATAAGTCACTAAGAAATAAATGCTAGTCTTTCATTTGTAGTGCCTTGTGAGACTTCTGGAATAAATGTTAAAAGAGCCTGCCATTGTTGTGAAGATAAGAAAATGCAAACTAGTTTTTTATACAGTGCAGCTTCATGCAAGCGATATCTTCTGCTCCCCTGTATGTGTGGTGAAAATGAAAGACTTGAATTATTGCCAAAGCACTTTTATTGTGTAGTTTTCTAATTGTAGAGGTGAGGTTGTCGAGGTCAAACCTAACCTTAGCCCAGCATTATAGGAGTATACGATAGAGGTAATGCTAACCCAAACCCTTTACTTGAACTTTCAGATTTTTTTTTTTTTTTTTTTTTACTTAGCAGGGTGCACCAGTATGTTGCTGTTGTTGTGTTTTAATGTTTTTGTTTGTTTGTTTTTTAATATGGCTGATGTTTTTGCCTCATCAGCCAATACCAATATGCATTTTTGTAATGATCTTAATGCAGGTGCAGGCATAATCACCAAGATAATCAAGTGTTTTTAGAGACTACGCTGGCTTGTTTCTGTTACTAGCAAGACAGCAGAATAACAGTCACGACATGCTGTTTGTACAGCTTACAAACATTTACAGAATTATATTGATACTGCTTTGTAAAGCTACTGTTAGCCAGCCTTCTGATCTATTGGTGCATCCCAATTTAATGATCTCACAGGTAATGCAAAATATACACAATAACAGATAATTCATCAGATTCATGTGTCTGGTGGCTGTAACAAGCATAAACTATATTCAGTTACATTACAATGATTTTCCCAGTTGACACTTCACTGTGTAATATGACTTGTAAGGATGAGATGTTTGCTGGCTGCCAGTTCTGTTATGTAACTTTTGACATGTGCAGGGCGTACGGCCAACGCTTGTGTTTTCCAGCAGAGTCAATAATATCCCAGCGAATAAGCTATTTTAATAAGCTGGCCTAATACAGAGGCATATTCTCAAGGACTGTTGGGTGGACTTTGTCAGATATGAGAGCAAATTTGTATGTTTGATGCTTCTTTATTTACACAACTTTCAGTAAGGACAAACCCAGCTATTTACTGGATTCAATGATTTATTTTTGCACTGTATTTACAGATCTGTGAAAGAAAAATAAGTTGCATTCGTGCCTCCTTGTACATCTAATTTTTGTAAAGTATTCAGGCCATGAGTTGTGATCTTCATTCCATCTTGTTTTCTTGACTATTTGCTAGAATATCAGAAATTAGTATCTCTGAATTAAACTATTCTGTAGCACAAATGTTTTTTCAGCATTGTTTTCATTTATTGAATTAAATAACACGATCTCTCTTACATCTCTTGAGCTGTGTTTTTGTTAACGGACACTTTTTACAAACCAAATAATACTTGATTCAAAGTCAAGTCAATTTCAAAAACATGCAAAGTATGTTCATAGCAAAGTATGGCCTATTAGAATGTAGAAAGTTCAAGTAGCCACTGGAAGATGTGGTTACATTTAACTTGTATTTCTATTGCATTAATGGGCGAGAAGTATTTCAATTGGCCTCAATGTTCACTGTATGTATGTATACTGCTGGTGTTGTTGTAGAAAATGTGCAAGGACACAGTGCCCTCCTTCCCACAGTCACAACACAACTATGGGGCAACACTGAGGTAACAAAATATGATGGAGCAACCACTATGAATAAGAACAGGCAGGTTGAAAATATCTGCATTAGCTGCTCACTGAAGGTTGAGTTATATTATTAACTCAGTGTTTACTTAATAGCGTTGGGAAATATTTAAGGAAAACAAAGTTATGGTAGGCTGCCATTTAAAATAAGCCACCTTTTATAAAGAGTTGAAGCTTTATTAATAGCTCATAATCATCACAAGCATTCACTAATGTTTTATAAATCTTGAATTATTGGAGGATATGACCACCAAAATCTATTATTAAGCATTTATAAATTGCTAACTGTGTAACTGCATTACTCCCACTTATAAATGATGAACACCAGTGAGGGATTTTTCACAACCTGGCAACCAAAATGTTTTCTTATGTATAGCTTATAATTAAACTACCGTAAAACTTCAATTAAAAGCCTAGTCTCAAATAAACGCCCAGTCCCTCTACTAGCCAGGTGTGGCTACACATTTTGACAAATGAACACCTGTTTAAATTAGACCTTCCTTGATTTCCCTGTAAGTTATTAATATTGCTTTAGTCTGTAAGAGTCCTCAGATCAAAAGAAAAATCAGAAGAAAAGAGGGTTTTTAAAATTAATCCAAGTTGTGAGTGTTGTTTTAGCAGGATTAAGTTGTGTTGTGTCAGTATGCCTGGTGCCTTAATCCTTGAGTGCCGTAATTCACCCTCTCTCTGATGCTGTCTGTCTGAGCCAGATCAAATTAATGATTCATAATTGATATATTATCTGAAGCCTAATTTTTAAATAAGTAATAGTACACATACTGGTTTAAATAAACAATTTCCTTGTATTTCCTGATCTTTGCTGAGCAAATTTTGCATGAAATGAATTAAAGGCCTATCCCTTAAAGATGCCTGTCCCAAATAAAGGCCTGTTGATTTCAGTGATTAAAGCAAATAATAGCCTGAGCTACTAATTGAAGTTTTACGGTATACTGATTTATTAACCAATAACAATGCCCTTAGTCACTATTGAAAAAACCCTTTAAATGGGTGCCTTGTTAGGAAGTGGCATTGCTAATGCCACTTCCTAACAAGGAAGTGGCATTAGCATTCGTAACAGTCATGTTTACATTCTAGCAGAGCATCATATTTGATAAAACATAACATGTTTTTCAGATATATTAAATAACCTTAGCCAGACTTACATCTTAAATGTGAGTAAAAAGTAGCTTCTCACCTTTGTTTAAGCAACAGGAACTATTTGATAACTTTGCACTGATGTAAGTTATATCTCTAGGAGCCTGCTGGAAGACCATGATGTCATGCTAAGTGCTTTGTATGTAACAGTAGGGGGAGCCATACTCTGCCTACGTAGACGTGCAGCCGGAAGTAGTGTGGCCATATTCATCGTTTTGAATCTGTAGTTCAGTTATGCTAACTCTCCGCTGTTAGTTAGAGTACGCTACACTTGGAAATCTCAATATTTATCAACCTCATGTATATTTACAAGATGTCGACTGGTTGTTAAGGCAGCGGTGCGCGTGGAACAATGTAGCAGCTGCGAAGTAATGTCAACTCATCACGGTGAGACCATTTTCAACGGTCCTATTGTTGAGGAACTAGCTAGCCAGCTAACTTTGCTAACGTTAGCCCCTTTCGTTACGTTAGCTAGCTAACACGTTTGCTAGTAACGATAGCAGATTTGTCACCTGCCAGTGTCACCCAGATGTTCCAGTTAGCACATGCCAGTAGCTAGCTAGTTTGCAGTTGTGCTGTATTGTCTCATCCGTGTATTAAACGGTACTGTAGCTCGGTTTGACAGGAACTTTGGCCTTGTTATTTTAGGACAGTAACGTTAAATGCTGTGGTAAAAGCAAAAGTAATGGTGGAGTGGTGTAACGAACCCGTCCAGGCAGCTGTTTGGTAAGCTAGCTCATTTTGGTGCAGTGTGTTGAGCTTCAAACAGATTAGACCAACGATAACGGACACAGCTAAATTGGTTTGGCCTCGTAGGCATTGCTATTAAATGTAACGTTATTAAATATATGTAAGTTCACAATAATTTGATAATAATAAGTTGATTTGGCCTCGTGGGCGTTGGTATTACATGTAACCTCTGAGTCAGGACGCCAGCGTTATGTGATGATGATGATGTTGATCGGGTAATGCAACGCTGGTTTATCTTACATGTTATATTCTTGTATTTCAGACTTTGCTGGTTTATTATGAGCTCCCTATCAGCCCAGCCTCCGGCATCAGGCTCATCATGCAGGACACTACCTGGAGATGGAAATCAGGTAATATTTAACAGTAACTATGGCAACTGCTTTGCTCCTTACTCATTCTTGAGCATTGGGACAAATCATTTCCCATCAAAAAACCCTAAAAAGTATAAGCTATCAACACACTAATATCATTTCTGGGGTAAAATTTCATTTTTATAGGATTACTATGCATGAAGATAATATGATT